TCAGGGTCTTCCTCCTAGATCGGACTCCTAGTGATTCTCCTGTTTACAGCCTCCCAAGTGCTGGGATTACAGGTGTGCATCACCACTCCCAGTCTCATGCACTGTCTCAGTGTGCCCCAGAGGCATGACCAGCATAGCAGGCCTGGGGATCGAACTCCCAGTCCCTATGCCCCTCTATTTCTTTAGTAACTCAATAGATACCTTTTTTTTTTTTTTTGGCGGAACCAGGGATTGAACTCAGGCCCTTGCGCTTGCCAGGGAAGCACTTATTCCACTAAGCCATCTCCCCAGCCCCTCAATAAATATCTTTTAAAGACAGGTACACCTAATCTTGGGGACTGGAGTCATCAATGTTACTTTGTGGGGGAACAAAGAAGGGAAGTAGGGATATTTCTGAAAGTGCTGGTTACATAGGTGGATTCCCTGTGTTATTTTACTGAGATGTCTGCTTATCATTTTTATATTTTTCTGTATGTAATGGCATGTATGTGGTATCGTATCAAAAAAAGAAATCTGAGGCCAGTGAGATAGCTCAGTGGACAATGCCTGCTTTGGCAAGTGCAGGGACCAGGGTTTGATCTCAGGTCCTCGACTAAGTCTGGGCATGGTGGTGCATGCCTATAATCCCAGTGCTGGAGAGACTGAAAACAGGAGGATCACTACGAGTCTGAGCTATATAGTGAGATCCTGTACCAAATACATAAAAAAAAATCTGATCTTTGCCCAGATTAGGAGCACAGCATCCCCAAAACCCTTGCAATCTCCTAAGTGGTAAGGGTAACAGGAAATGTTACCACTCGATGAGGCCACTCTTGGAGAGCCCAAAAGAGCTTCAGGATAGAGGCTGGTCACCAGAAAGGCCAGGCTTTGATCAGAAGTGTGGAACTTTCAGTAAGCCCCTACTCTGAGGAAGAGAAGGTGGAGGTGGATTACTAACTAGTGGCCAGTGATCGGGTGAGCAGTACCCACATGTCATCTGCGTCCACTTCCTCTAATGATCAGATGTGAAGGTTTTGGGTTGGTGAGCATCCTGGGGTGCTGGGAGCAGGGTGTGCCTGGAGTAGCCCTGGAAACTCCACACCCCACCCTATACTCTCTGCATCTCTCCTCTTTGACTCTTAAGTTGTGTCCTTTATAAGAGGATAAATGTAGCGTCTGGCTCCCACTCTCACAGCCATTGCAGTACATTGAGCTCCATAGAGACAGCGCCGGGGCAAGTGAGAGCCGGACGGGCACTGGGCGACTCTGTACCTCGCTGAGGAAAACAAGTAAACATGGGCAAAGGAGATCCTAAGAAGCCGAGAGGCAAGATGTCATCATATGCATTCTTTGTGCAAACTTGCCGAGAGGAGCACAA